AAATAATTTATCAAAGAATTATTTCTAATTATTGGTATTTTTGGATAAATAGGAAAAATTAGCCAATATCAATTATTTTAAATATATAAAGGCTTTGATAAATCAAGAAAAAATCAGAAAAAATTATTTGAAAGTTTATTACAGATTGTAAAATTATTCTTGACCTCTAAAAGTATAGAGGTTAACTTTAAAAATGTTTAATGTCAAATTATATCAGTAGGACGGTGATTTTCTAAGAAATTTGAATAGAGGGAGTTGTAGGTTGAATTCTAATTTGAGAAAAATTAGGAAACTTCCTCTCATTAAAAGAAGTTATTGGCATGAACAAATAAAATTTTAGAGCCATTGGATTGGACAGGATTTGAGAAAAATTAAACCAATTTGGTGTAGTTATTCAATAGAATGACCTAAAACTTAGTGGAGCAATTTTTCCACCTAATTTTCTACCATTTTGGCGTTGTTTTATGAAGAGAGGACATGGTTAGAATTTTTCAAATTTATGAAGGGCATGCTTGGAAGAATGAATTATGTAATAAAATAAAATATTTTTAAACATATGTTTTTCTAGAAGAAAGAAACCTCATAAGGTAAATGGCATGATCTTGATTTAGAAGAACTTGAGTTATAATTTTTAATTAGGTTTTCATCACATGGTTAGACACTTAATTTCATAACATGATCAAGAGACAAGTGGCCTTGAAACCCTCAAGTTTTCCAAGGGCAAAACAAGGCAAATTAAGGGCAAATATTTGCTTATAAATACCTCCCATAATACATATTTCAGCCAAACTGAGAAATCTAAAAGAAGAATATTTTGCTCTTGAATTTAAGATAGAAAAGAGAGAAAAAGGAAGAAGAGAAAGAGGAAGAAAGGTTAGCCAAGCTTAAGCAAGCAATCAAGGTATGTTTAAACTTTAATTCAGGACTTAATTATATTGATTAGTGGTTGATTGGAATTTAATCTTATTGGAATTTAGTGACTAAGATCCTAAGAAATTATGTCATCTTAATTGTTATATGGTTTGATAAGCATGATTAGAGGATGGCTTAAATATTAGAGGATAGAAAATAGTTCAAAACATGTGTTATTGCATGAATTATGAAAAGAATTCCAAGCCACCATGATTGATGATAGCTCTCAGCCAAGCATGGAACATTACGCTAGGGTTTAATTTAAGTTGATTTAATGCTTCTAATGAGTTTCGGAAGTAAAATTGTGTAGGATTATGTTAAGAACATGTGCTTGGAAGCATTAAAATTAAAAATAAAATTTTTGAGTTTCAAGAGGGAACCTCTCAGCAAATCAAGAACTAGGAGAAGGAATTGGATTTTGATAAATCTAAGTTCAAATATGGATTCTAAATCAAAAATCATATAGTAAAAGGATATAGAAGTTAGGTTAAGAAAGATGGGACAAAAACCTTAAAACCAAAACAAGGGCTAGGTTTATGTTAGGTTAAGGCATTGGTGTTATTTGAGTTGAGATTTAGAATGTCTTTGTTGTACGATTGGTACGCATTGTTCTAAGGCCAAGAAGACTTCAAGATCAAGGGAAGGAAGGCATAAGACAAGACTTGGATTAAGGTAGCATGAACTTACAATTTTAATGTTAATTTGTATGGTTGTTTGCCATGAGTTTCAATACCATGATGTGGTTAAACTAGCTATGTAATGAAATGTTTAACTCCTTGCATTGTATGCCTTGGCTTATGCATGATTGAGTTATTGAATGGAATGATTATGAGCTCCCTTTCTATGGCAGAATGATGGTATGATAATGGCATGAATGAAAGCATGAGAATGATGTTACATGTAGTATGACATGCCATGCATGATTAATATTATTATTGTTTGTTCTATGCTACTGAGATTTCTTTAAAATCTCATTCTTTTATACAATGACAACCCTAGGTGCTAGACCATCAAGGGAGAAAAGGAAAGACAAGGTGATATGAGAAAAAAATACTTGATATGCTATGTTGATGACTATGTTCCTAACATTTAACATGCATGATTATGGGTTGGTATGATTGGAAAAGGGTAAAATTGCATGATCATGGTTTACTATTACAAAAGATCCTATCTTCCTTATTGCTACATATGCTCCTTTACTATGCCCTCATTAATGACAATCTTAGAAGACAATTCTAGCTATAAATCACAATGTAAATGACACTTAATTAAAGCAAATGATAACAAAATAATTTTTGAAAATTATAAGTAGTGAAGGCATACATTATAAATTGTTCTTCCAGTTAGCAAATCAACTCATACTCCCATGCTGCTTTCTGTTCTTATCATGTAAATAGCTCTTGATTTGCATAGTCTGGTCAATTAAGGTTGTTCAGTGGCAGATTGAGAGGGTTTAGTCATAGTTCTGGACTTTTGAATTGTATCTGGTTCGTTTCTTTGGAGTAAGGAGTTCATCAATTCCTTATTGAAGCCATGATAGCTTGAGTAAGCTTCTGAGTTGTTAACACTTTGCATGTATATGTTTCACCTTTTATTTGTCTCATTGTGCTCATTGGGCTTGTTGGGCTTTAGTTTGAGTTAGTCCTCCTTTCTGTTCTCTTTTGTTTTGTTAGTTTTTTCTTTCTGTTCAGCCGGCCTTTGTTCATTGGTTGTTTGGGCTTTGCTTAAATGATCATTTTATAATAGACCAGCCTTTTTAATGTATCTTTCTATCAGAAAACAGATTTCATTAAAGATAAAAATATATATATTAAAAGGCTGGTTCATTACAGAATGATCATTTGAGTAAAGCTAAACAACCAATGAAAAAAAGCCATCCTAACAAAGAGGAAAAACTAACAAAACAAAGGAGAATAAAAAGTAAGAGTAACTCAAACTGAAACCCAACAAACTCAGTGAACGCAACAAGCCAAACAGAAGGTGAAAATTTTCCTTCAAAGTGTTGGCAACTATGAAGATTACTTGAGCTGTCATGGCATCAATAAGGAATTGACAAACTCCTTACTCCAAAGAAACGAACCAAATATAATTCCTAAAATTGTGTATATATATTTTCTTTTCATTAGAAAATATACTTTTTAAAGTTAGGGAACCAAAATAAAATCTTGTATAAAGTTAAATAACTAAATGTATACTTTTACGTTAAGAATTTGTTAAAATAATAAATCTAAATTGAAATTTTGATATTTTAATTGGATTTAATTGGGATTTTCACTAAGATACAAGGCCAACTTCTTTAAGTTTTATCCCTTAATAAAATATTTGAAGAAAGTCAAGATTTTTGTAATAAAAAGTTTTGCATGACATGAAAATATGTCAATGAGTTCATGAAAAATTGTAATAAAAAGAAAACAAAGAGAGTGAAGGAGCACATCCGGTAAAGAGCTTTCCATGAAATGATGAAAGCGGAACAACTTGATTTAAAGGGTGTTTGGATAAAATTAAACCATGGTTTAGAGAATAGTTTTTGGAGAATAGATTCTTGGGAGAATAGATTTTGTGAAGAACTAATTATGATAAAGTGAGAATGTTTGGATAACTGTTATCAGAAGCACTTTTTATAAGTGCTAATTACTAAAAAAACATAAATTAATATGATAATTACATAAAAAATAGATTTTATAATATATTTTAATTTGAAGGAATAAAATTGTTAATCATATATTTTTTACCAACATAATTAATAACATATGAGATAATGTAATTAATAAATAATTAATGTGTATAAAATATAAGATTAAATATGTTTATAAAATAATAATTGAGGGGTGTTAAAGTCATATTATCATTGAGATTTACTCTGACAGGCACAACCATACTCTCCAATTTGAGTTAGAAGCATAATGAATTCACTTTTTTTTTTTGAAAATATGGTTTTGAACCAAAACCATGATTTGTTAATTTTGTCTCCTGTTTGACAACTTTTTCACTCAAACCATAATTTAGGTCCTTAAACCACAATTTGGGATGTTACCAGAACAGGCCCTTAGCCCAATTGTAGAGATATTTTTCTCAAAAATTTTGAAGATGGATAATCAAAATTAGATCTAAATATAATTTTTTTTATACTTTTGTCATTTAGCACTCTTTTTTGGCTCAAAATCCCATTAACTTTAATTTAAAATAAAGAAAGTAATATAAAATGTATATAATATAAATAAAATAGGGTAAAGTTTCATTCAGTATTCTCTCTTTTTTTTTAGGTGCATTCAGCACATCGATTTTACTTTTTTAATGTATCCAGCATCTCGATATTATTTTTTAGTTACATCTAGCATCCTAAAAATTAGAATGTTATATACACTAAAAATAAAATTAGGGTATTGGATGTAACAAAAAAAAAAGATCTGATGCATGATTAAAAAAAAAAAATGTTAGATACACACCTCTACCCAATAAAGTATGATATTTGCTGTAAGTTATACCATCTATAAATCATGAAATGATGATATTAATATCAAATTCTTATGCGTAAAGTGCACTGTATCTCATATTCTTTTGTGTTGTACTCGAATTATAAAAAATAAAATTATCAAGAATATTTAATTAAATATAAAATTATGATAATAATTTTCTCAATTTAGAGATCATGAAAATAACAAGGGAAAAGGATGGAATCTCTTTATATGGCAAAAACTCTCTAATTCTCATAATCTCCAAATCCTACAAACCATTCGTTGTACTCCTCAAATCCCTAAATTAAACCCTCACGTTCATGTGAGATGAGGTAAATTCACACATTAAAAAAGGATTTGGATGAAATTTTGGAATTCCCAAATCCAAGGCCGTCCATCCAATCAAAATTAGCATCTCAAATGGAATTATTAGACTTGGTTTTTTTAGTCTTCTCATTAGCCACTTGCATTTCTTTCTCCCATGGACTCTTGTGGTCTTAATTTTATTGCAGCAACCATCTAAATCTGCTGGTAAGAAAAAAACCCATCTAAATCATCCACGTTTGATAGATTTTCCATCATATTCCACAGTTTACACTCTGGCCTGTCTTCTTCTTCCTCTCCCTCCCTAGCTGTTAATTCGTTTTTAAATAAAAATCCCTTCTTTAGTCCTCTTTTTTGTCTGTAAATCTATATGCCCGTAAGAGTGGCCAGCATCATCGCCATTCACCAACCCATCTCTCCAAGAAACAAGAAGAATCGTATAATACAGCGAGGATAAAGAGCTAGAAGAACACTTTCTTTCTCCACTTTTCTTGTTTTGGACACTATTCCTTAAGGATCCCAGTTTATGAAACCCTAAGCCTAACGTTTTCGTGAAGCGAGAGCTGGTAGATTTCATCCACATTTTGAGGAAGGAGGAGAAAGAAGGGTAGTGTGTGTTTGTTTCCTTTGAGATTTGCTTAAATGTCACATTTAGATGATCCTCCCTCCACTCCAGGAAAGTTCAAGATGGAAAAGTCCCCGTATTTTCACAGGGTTCGATGGCATTCCTCTCTCGCGAAGCTCACGTTTTGGTCTCTCGTGTTCTTAGGTCTGATTTTTATTTTCTTTTTCCGATCGCCACCATCCGGGTCGCTGCCTTCAGATCCATCTCGCCGTTCCCTGAGAACGAGCGGATGGGGTGGTTCCGCATGGGAGAAGAGGGTTCGTTCTTCTGCAAAAGTGAGGTCTCGCAATGGGATATCAGTGCTGGTTACCGGAGCCACCGGATTCGTCGGTACCCATGTCTCGGCAGCTCTCAAACGCAGGGGTGATGGTGTACTTGGCCTTGACAATTTCAACGATTACTATGATCCTTCTCTGAAACGCGCTCGCCAAGCTCTTCTAGAGCGCACCGGTGTGTACATTGTTGAAGGTGATATCAACGATTCAGCGCTTCTTAAGAAGCTATTCGAGGTTGTACCATTTACCCATGTGATGCATCTGGCTGCTCAAGCTGGCGTGAGGTATGCAATGGAAAATCCTGGATCCTATGTGCACAGTAATATTGCTGGTTTTGTGAATCTACTTGAAGTTTGTAAATCAGTAAACCCACAACCTGCAATAGTGTGGGCATCTTCTAGCTCTGTTTATGGACTTAATACGAAGGTGCCCTTCTCAGAAAGAGATAGAACAGACCAGCCTGCTAGCTTATATGCTGCAACTAAGAAGGCTGGGGAAGAAATTGCTCATACATATAATCATATATATGGCCTTTCCTTAACAGGATTGCGATTCTTTACTGTTTATGGACCTTGGGGTAGGCCTGATATGGCATACTTCTTTTTTACAAGAGATATTTTGAAGGGGAAGTCGATTTCCATATTTGAAGCGCCTAATCATGGCACGGTTGCGAGGGATTTTACGTACATTGATGACATTGTGAGGGGTTGCTTAGGAGCATTGGATACTGCAGAGAAGAGCACTGGCAGTGGTGGGAAGAAGAGAGGGCCGGCTCAATTGAGGGTTTTCAATTTAGGGAATACTTCACCTGTGCCAGTCACAGAACTTGTGAGCATATTGGAGAGGCTCTTAAAGGTGAAGGCGAAGCGAAACATAATGAAGTTGCCACGAAATGGTGATGTGCAGTTTACTCATGCAAACATTAGCTTCGCTCAGAGAGAACTTGGGTATAAGCCTACGACAGATCTGCAGACTGGTTTGAAGAAATTTGTTCGGTGGTACCTCAATTACTACTCTGGTGGGAAGAAAGCTGGTGGTTGATGGATTCTCTTAGCTGTGTGGTAGGAACATTGAATTCTTGTTCATTATGATTGTTGTGATTGTCCTTTAGTGTTTCTCTTAACTGCACGATCATATTGTGTTTCATATGTCTTCATGATGCCACGTAAGGAGGGACATTGTTTCTTACACTGAGGAAGTTTTGTCATTGATGGAGATCATTTCCTGGAATCTGTAACAAATATCAAACAAACTATTCTTCTCTCATTCTTTTTCCAGAATGTAATTGTTCTAGTTTCAGAAATGTAGCATTTATGACCGATAGACCATATGCTGATTGGTGGCAGTGTATTATTCTTATGCAAACTCAATAAAATAGCACACTAAAATTTGATTCCTGTTTTCTGACCAATTTAAATACTTATATTCCTTTCAGTAAGTTAACTGTGCTCTTGTATTAGTTTTGTTTTATTCTTGTTTCTTACATTTTGAGAGGGACTCTGGCGCGGCCATTCCTCTTGTCCTTGAACTGCCAGCTCATTTCCTTGTTCTTTTTATTATTAGTGTAAGAAAAGGGGTTACATATTGCAGTCCTGATGCGTTTGAGGCGTTATGATGTTGGGGGAAGCATCTATGACATGCTTTTGAAGTGCTCTCTTTCCACTTAACAGGACTATTATTGGAAGCATCTTTTAGGAATCATATTGCTATACTTCAAGTTACGTTTTGGCTGTAGTTCCTTCCTAGTTTCATTTACATCTTTGTTTTAGTACTGGGTGGGATTTATCTAAGCATGTGCAGATTCCTATATGTTCAATTTAGAAATAGATTGTTCACGCCTGTTTTGCCAATTGGTTAAAGCTTCTTTTCTAACTCTTTTCTTAATTTTTGTATGAGCGACAATTGAAGTTGCTGAACTTGAACTTAATATCTCTACAGGGGACTTAGCTGGCAATTTCTGAACTTCATCTTCACCTCTGCATTTGTATAGATAATGAGGCTCCTTTACTGTACATTTCACATTTCTGTGAATGTTGAGGGCCTGTTGTGAAAAGCGTTGTGCTGTTTTACTGAAAACATCATCTTTCTCTGATTTGGTTCTCTGGTTTGTGATTGGATTTCAATGTGGTAAAGTTTTCGGCGCTCGCTTGTTGTCATTTGCTATACGGTCACATTCAGTGAACTGAGGTCTGAGATTAAAAGTAACTAGCATGATATACTTCATCCAGTTCTGTGATAAGGTGAGGTTAAAGCAAGTAGAGATTATTTGGATTTTTCATTTTGCTTCTTTGACCGAGAAATCGGTTAAACATGTAGATCCTCCTGACTGAGAAGCATTGATACAGTTGTTCTGAAGTTGAAAAGATCTGTAAATTTGATATATATTTTTTTCTTTGGGAATTTTTTTAATTAAAAAGATCTGTAAATCTGGTGAAGTTTGACTCATAAGGAAAGAGAGAAGAGATTTAAGGGGAAAAAACCCATATCAAGTGAACCAGAGAATTCAAGGTAGAGTCTATTTCAGAGGATGTATGATGGATATATGATACCTTCTGCAGCATCAAGCCTGACCTAAAACTAATTACCTTCCATCTTCTTTTCCTCTATTTTTTTTTTCGGTTGGAAACGTAGCATTGTGACATGACTTAGTAGTTGTGAAAGATCAATCTGAAAGGTGATTGTGCATCTTGCAATACTTTATATTGATGATTATGCTTCATTATGGTGTTATGCTCTGCTTGTGGTCAACTGTTATCAATCAAGCCGGATTTGTAAAAATTATAAATCCCAAACCTGTTGACTTCTTCGTACATGCTACCATGTACTTCTCTTCTCTACAATTAACCTTTCTTCTTTTTAAATTTATCTGTCTATAGCTCAATTTATCTTTTCTTTTTATTAAATTAAATTCAAGAAATCCATATACGATTCTGTCAGTTGGGAGTATGATCAGTAACAGTACCTTAATAGTACGATTTTAATAACTTTTTACATTTTTTGAATGTAATATATTAATTTCGACCTGGAAAAAAAAGGGAAGAATTTTAATAAACCCCATTGGTAGGTAATTAATATAAGTTAACTCTTAAAACATTTTAAAATTTTAGTCAACTCCGTTGACACACCAAAAAGAATGTAAACACTAGGCCAACTAATACATTTAATTATATGATGCAAAGAAAAATATATATAACAAAATAAATGTAAATGAACAAGTGAAACTTGACGACTTACAAGTGAAATTTATAATTTACAATAAAAATTTGGCGATTTACAAAAGAAAAAAGGAATTTATAATTCCAAATGTAAGTGTTTAGGTGTGAATGAGTAAGTGAAATTTAGAGATTTATAACAAATTTAACGATTTATCACCCAAATTCGGTAATTCATAAGAAACATAAGGGAATTCACAACTTCAAATATAAGTGTTTAAGTGTGAATGAATAAGTAAAATTCAACGACTTACAAGAAACATAAACATTACAAAACACATAAGAGAATTTACAACTCCAAATGTAAGTATTCATGTTTCTTGTAAATCACTGAATTTTGGTTGTAAATGGCTGAATTTTTGTTGTAAGTTATCAAATTTTACTTTTTCCTTAATATCCAAGATCTTACATTTGGGGTTGTAAATTCTCTTATGTGTTTTGTAATGTTTATGTTTCTTGTAAATCGCTGAATTTGAGTTGTAAATTGTTGAATTTCACTTGTAAATCGTCAAATTTTACTTATTTATATTTAGACACTTACATTTGTTGTTATATATATATATATATTTTCTTTGCAACATATGACTAAGTACATTTGTTGGTTCAGTAGTCACATTTTTTTTAGTGCGCCAAAGGATCATAAGTTCAAACCCCCTTGGCTACCTTATTTAAAAGGAAAAAAAACACCAGCTACAATTAATATTTGTTTTTTAAAAAAAGAAAAATGAAGGACATTATTATATTTTTATCTTTAAATTTTAATTTCATTTTGGTCCAAAAGGATTGACCGAAATTTTAAAATATTTTGGAGTTGACTGATATTAATTAACTATTAAGAGGGTTTATTGAAATTCTCCCAAAAAAAACAAATGTAATATGTTAATTGGATCTTCTGCATTTAGTATTCTGAAAACGCATGGGCGTGATTAAATGTGGCACTGTTTTTTATTTTATCCTTGCATATATCATTTTTCTATTTGGTTTTTTCCATAGATGTTACTCCCTCTAGACTTTTTTATAAGATCCTTTTATTAGAAGTACACGTTTTGAAAAACAATTAAAATTAGTTAAAAATAATAAACAAATACAAGTTAAACTTTTTTTTCTTCTAAAAACACATTTAATTTCAAATATTTAAAAAGGACCAAACGAATTTAAATTTTAAGATTTTATATGGAGGAGCGGAGAGAGAGTATTAAAAGTGAACCAACAAATTGAATTCTGATTCAATCTATGGCATTTTGGAAATCAGGATCGCTCGACAAAGCATCGCAGAGCTGATCAATAGCTATGAAAAAATTGTAATAAAGTCTCAAGAAAGAAATATAAATACTGAAAAATTTTAATAACAACTAAGCAGCCTATAATAACAATAACTTCTAACTTGTTATTTGGACTTTTCGTTAGTTATCTTCCTTTTTTAAGACCTCGTTGTAATTCTCTCAAGAACTATTACTAATAAATTCAGTCCAGAATTGGTAAAAGATGATTAAAAAAACTGATATAATCGATCTGGAATTCATTATCTAGTTGTTTTTTCTTTATAAAATTTTTACACAAGAATAGAAAGTATACAAATTTAACTACAATTTATTTGATACTTACCAATTAACTTTGTGCTAATATCATTATCAACTTGATTATCAGTCCCGTTTTAAACATATTGGCCTTTATTTCTCTTCGTCAATACTTTATTTCCCATTTAACAATTTTCCCATTTCTAACTCAGTAACTTGTGTTACTATTAAGTTGAATTATTCTATCAAATTATTGATCAATAATTTAGAATTGAATGATCAATTTACAAATGTGGATATGGAGTTGCTTCTTTGCGCAGGATACTTAAATTAAAGACATTCATTGTCCTTATTTGATAAAGAGAAATTTGTTCAATTAACCCAATTTATCATTTGACATAGGAGATCAATGGTTGAATGATTGTTGTGTTCTTTAACATAGAGAGAAAAGTTTTGATAGCACAAAAAAATCATCTAGTGTTCCTAAAGGATGAAAAAAGTCACAAAACAACTATATATTCATATTTTTAAAATTAGTTAACAATATTCTTGATGCTATGTATAGTTAGTAATAATGTCTGTTTGTATTAATGATAAAATATAGGGAAAGTTGATATACAAATCTTTGCAATTTTATCTTGTTTTTAATTAAGTACTAGTCTTTATGGTTTTTTCCTTTTCTATTTGGCCCTTTTATAGTTTTCTCAATTACAGGTATTGATCTCTATACTCATAAATCTGTGAAGATGTAAGGGAAAAAATATCTATAATTGATGACATGAATCTCACCTAGCACATAGTTGAATTTATTTTGTTACCTAAATAAAATCAAAATCAATCGGCTAATAAGTTATATAATATAATAAGGAGACGGTTATAATAATGATTTTTTATTCTGTATTTGGAAAATTCCTATTTAAGCCCAGCTAAAATGCCATAATCCAAAAATTCAATCTTCCGAATTCAAGGAATCCCAAATAAATCTAAGAGGACCAAATGGGGATTTTCTGAATTTTGTGAATCAACCACAATGCCCCAAAGCATTCGAAAAAGAAAATTGAAGGAAAAATATAACGTGGGCACACTATGTTTGAGCTCTGAAGGTGGGAAACTTGTTCAAGATGTGTCTAAAAGCGAAACACTAGCTAACCACACAATGATAAGTTAGTTTTGAACTTAAATCTTCTTTCAATCCTACTCTTCACATTTATTGGTATAGGTAATAAAGGCTCAACTTGTATGTATTTAACCGTTCTAATGAACGGAGGTTGCTGGATGCCTAATGAAACAGTATCTTTAATTACCGTATAATTAATTATTTCAAAGCAATTGATTAAACCATTAAATCCTCTTATTGTAGAAAAGGAAGAAACTAATTTCAAGGGTTTACCATAGGAGAATAAATTTGACCAAAACATAAAATTAATGACTATGGTAAAATATATCAACCTTATAATTAAAGTATCCATAGTTATAAAAAATTCACTAATTACTCTAGAAAAGTCAACATTGGTAGAAAAGGGCAAAACCTGTCAAATGAAAGTCTACCACAGTTATTTGGATTTCACGTTCACAATAAATCAGTTGCAACTCTATCAGGGTAGATATGTCTTTAACATTGAGAGAAATAATCAAATAACCTGATTCAAACATTATAAATTAATCATT